TTGACCAGTTGTTGTATATGCACAGAATTTGTATGGCATTTGCATGTACTCAGGGGAGACCTACAGCTTTCCACCCTGCCTAGGAAATTTGCCAGCTGTACAAAAACTTTGGATGGGCACAGGGCAAAGCAAAATTGACCCTCCAGGGTGCTGGCTGGAGATCAAAGTATGAACACTGATGCATGTGGTGGGCCAGTAGGGGGAGCTCCTGCGTTGAGCCACCCACCTCACTACACCCGTCCACCTTCCAGACTCCACGCATCTCTCCAGGGGCTCCTAAGCCCTGGCAGACCCGCTTTTGAGCCCCACCACAGAGTCCAGGGGTAACATGTGCTGCTGCCACCCCGAGAAGGGACTGTCTCAGCCCTGTGTCCTCGGGGAAACATAGGCCTAATAGTCCTATGGGTACTCGACCCAATACAAGCACTTCGGGCACTTCCCCAAGTCAGAGGCCAAAAAGGAAAGTCTCTCTTAGTCCGCAGATCTAAGGGGCCTCTTAGGCATAATTTAGACCCACCCCTCAATATGTCTCCTACACCGGTCACAAAGGAGAACTTTATTGATTACAGGTGGTAGGGTAAAAATAAGGTACAAGATAAAACAATATCATAGAAATCCCATAGAGCAAAACAGTCTGGCTGAGGTGGCCTTTTGATCACGCATCTGAGTTACTGCCAGCTATATATCAAATCAGGTCTCGGGTAGCTTACTTACAAGCATCATCCAGAGGCTGTTGGAGATTCCCTCTGGAGGCAGGCTGTTCCTAGCTCATGAGTTATGGGGGAGAGAGCCAGTTTCAGATGGTAAAGCTCCTCTCCAAGTGTGAGCCCCCCGTATGGCTGCTGCCCCCTCCCCCTGGGCAGTCTCAACTTATAAAGTCCCTGTGACCTCATTCACCTGGTCCAATGGAGGCCAGCACCTGTTGGCTGTTGGCCAACCAATTCAAAATACATCACTAGTTGCTGGGCAGACTCTAGCCCACCAGGTAGATGCCCCTCACCCAGGTAGGTGATACCAGTCACGTAGGCAGAGGGAGCAGGTTTCCCCCCTCCCTCAGGAATGTATCCATCTCAGGTTACCTAAAGAGATAGGGTAAAGGTGTGTCTCCTCTGCTGGGCCCATCCTAATCAAATTGTCACAGAACAGAGATTTTGGGGAGAACCAAAGGTGGCTTCCTACCACAATGCACATGATGGAGATTAAACTTTTCTAGACCTCTAGGAACTTTCATAGAGTCTTTTCTAGAACCCCTCTCAAAGCCACTGTATTTCCCATGAAAACAGGGTTTCATTTTCAATGCCACCTCCTCTGCAATGCACCATAATGGATATAGATGTTGGATGCAAGTACTGTACGGAAACCTCAGAGGTGAGATTTAAAGGCAATATAATGAATCAAAAGAATATGTTCCAACTTCTCTCCCTTTTAAGAATAAATGCAGGGGTCCTTACCACACAGGAGTATTCCACACTTTCAGGGCAGTGCTGAGGCTGGGCCGAGTTGAGTGTGAAAGATTGATTGATCAATTTTTTGGGCTCTGTAGTCACACTTGTGTAGAAAACACCACTGTTTGCTTCCTCTGGAGCCTGAAAAAAATCAACATATTCTGGTTTGGAATCTGTGTGGGTCCTAGAGCTCTGAGTACCTCCAGTGATCAGAGGGAGGGGTTTAGTCTGAAGTCAGGCAGAAGGTAGGGTGTGGCGGGATAGTAGTGGGGTGCTACTAAGTTAGACTGCCTGCCTCACTGCGCCTGACCAAAAACCACACTTCAAGAGTCCCCCCTGGGGCACTTATGTCTGGCCAACCCCCTTCCTGGAGCCCACCCACTAGCCTAGGGTAACCACTGCCACCACCCAGGGTCTGATCTTTGTTAGGGCTCTGTGCCACCCAGGGTACACAGGCCTTGTAGACCTTGAGGGTGCTGAACCCACTGTGGTACTTGAGGGTGCTGAACGCACTGTGGTACAGGCCCTGTAGACCTTGAAGGTGCTTCTATGAGGCTGAAGCTTTCACAAGCAGCCTCCAGTGAAGGAGAAGTCCTTACCACACAGGCATATTTCACACTTTCAGGGCAGTACTCAGGCTGGACAGAGCTGAGTGTGAGAGATTGATTTATAGATTTTCTGGGCTTTGTAGTCACATTTGTGTAGAAAATGTCACTTTTTGCTTCCTCTGGAGCCTGAAAAAAATTAACATATTCTGGTTTGGAATCTCTGTGTGGGTCCTAGAGCTCTGAGTACCTCCAGTAATCAGAGGGAGGGGTTTAGTCTGAAGTCAAGCAGAAGGTAGGGTAGATTTGAACCTCATATACTAAATTAGAGGTGCATGGGACACCTACCACAGTCCACTATCAGTGACCATTTCTAAGGTGATCTAACCACACAGTCATCTGGTCCCTTCAGCTGTTCTCCTTTCTAGATTACCTCAAACACATGATGCCTTTCTAATCGCTCTTTCCAGCAAGGGTCCTAGTAACAGCTAGCATTGGCCCAGAACTGTCCAACACCAAACTTGAAGTACAAACAAAAAGGAGGTTCTTCCTGTTGCACAGACTGTGCAACTGAGATGCAAAGAAGATTCAACTAAGGTCACCCAATTAGCTACTGGCACATCTAGAGATCCTGACTGCCTGGCCAGAACCCCCTCCAATAGACCATTTCTCCTGTGACAAAGATAAATCATTTCTGGTCAGCCCCTTGCAATGATTCTGCTCCTTGCACTCTTCTGATGGATCCTCCTACATTTTCTACACATTTTGGATTCTTCTTTCCTTGCCATCTTATAAGGTTGGAATGACTGAGCTCTGCGAGCCCCAGGTTGGAATTTGATTAAGTAGTTAATGTGCCTCTTGCATGTCTACATCAGTGGTTCTCAACCTTTTTAAACACCCCTAGACAGATTCATGTAACCTCTGATAGACTTAAGGTAGCTTTTGGAACATGCTGGCTTTTAGTTTTATTCTATTTTTTGACCACAGAAAAATAATAGAGCAATTTTGCTGTTGTAAAGAACTTGAAAAGGCCACAGTGATAGGTTTCTGTGTGAAATCTTGAGTTTATATTGTGAATCAGGTTTGCACACTGGACAGTGCTAACATTGTGTGGCATCCTGCTGCACCCTTAGAAGGATCTCATGGCACCCTGTTTGTGACTCACTGGTTCAGACCTTTGGGAGCTGGAGAAATGTGACTTCTTGGGATAGAGCAAAATAGCCACCACATTCTCTTACCTCACTTGATCCTGGGGTTGTTTCAAGGACGGCATCAGCTGAAAGAAAAGAGATACTTTATCATAGGGATGTCACAGTGTGGGATTAACTGCTGGAAGAGAATAGCTATAGAAGAGCAGGACAAGACTGGAAACTGGGGGCAGGGAGGCCCCTCTGGACATTATAGGATTAGGGGCAAACTTCTGAAGTATTTTAGCTCTTGGAGACTAGCAGGGTGGACCCCTTTCTACAGAGAGGGCTCAGGCATGTGTTGGTGGGTGGCGTGCATAGGTGGATGTATGCTCTCATGTAAGCCTTCCCAGGGGACTTGGG